CAACCCGAATGTCCTCGGGTTCGTGTACATGACCGTGTGGAGTGGGCAACGGATCCTCTGCCCCCAGGGGATTAAATCTCCCTTGGGGAGCAGTGGGACGGCGAATCGGGATATGGTGAAACCCCGAATCTAAGGTGTGAGGCTCCGTGCTGAAGGATGAATGGTGCCGGGTGCAATCGGTCCCTTCGGAGCACCGAGCTGAATTCCGGAGGAAGTTTGGCCTTCTGTACGTATGGGGCTCTGCGTACGGTGATGGCTTATATCCCCGTGGGAACAACATGGACCAACGGAAAAACCTCAACCCTAACGAGAAGGGTCAAAACCTCGATCCTCCGTTGGAGGAACAACCAATGGAGATTGGCGATCTTTGGCCCTCATCATCATCACAGCAGGGAGAAAAATCGCTCTCTGGGGCATCAGAGGATGATACTCTGACCGAGGCTCCTCGGGGCGAGCTGACCCCTGTTAATAGGAATCAAGAAATGACTCCACTGTCTGTCACCTCTGAACAGGAAAGGGAACCACTGAACCCCTCTCCGAAGCCAGAGGTAGCAGACTCTATGGCGAAAAGCCCTTGGAAAAGATTCCCGGGTGCAAAGATAAGACGCCTAACAGCGCTTCTCAAAAGCGGCATGCCTTACGAGGCGGCGCTTGCGAAAATCCTGGGGGAATCAGCGAATGACAAGGTTGAAAAATCTCCATCGTCCAACGCAGCTAGTTGCAGCAGTCAGGAATAGGGAGGGCGTGAAGTCGTCCCCATTGCTGGCTGCAGCAAGTGGCCCCGTTCGAAAGGTAGCACTCCCGAACAGTCACCAAAAAAGCCGAGAAGTGGCGATATTGGTAGCTGTGTCTCGCATTAAAGTCAGGAACACACAGGTGAGGTTCCACTGTACCCACATACCTGGATGGATACAAATCACCTGAGTGGGACAAAGAAAGTCTGAACTGACTTGAAGGTGCAACAAAGCACCTCCAGCCAAGGTCAAGTTTGTCAAGGGGGGCAATCTTCCTAAACCCCTTATATGCATAGGAGGATTCATTTAAGGGACAAACTTGGGCCTTCGGTATAGGTGATGCGTCGCTGGAGGCGCTGAGGCGTCTGGACTTCAGACCGTACTTTGGCTTCGGCCAGGTGATGCGTCTACGGTGACAGCAGGAGGGACAGCCACCCCTCCTGCTGCAACTGGTAGCGACTCTGCCAACGCAGCCTTTCAAGGAGAAGCTTAAAAATATGCTATTAGATAGTTGTTGTAGACCTCTTGAAATACCTACTATTTACATGTCTTGGGTGCTGCTGTAAGAACTAGATGTGCTTCAGAAACATACCATTCGACTGGTTACTGGCATTACGTTAATCGAGTGTCTCAAACATGTCACACATCGACAAGCGGTCGGTCTGCTACCGATATGACGACAACCTTTGCTCCTCTGCGCTCTTCTCTATGACGATTTTGTGTTCTACGTCTGTCAGTCAGACTCGCCAGATATGTTCACTTGATTTCACAAATCTTTCAGTGTCTAGGAGGTTCGTATCGATCTTCTTCACGCTTATTCGCCGTGGGGGAATCTTGGAATTAAATTTTGAATCAGTTAACTTTAATCAATTGAGCTGAAATTTGCTACACATCTTTGATTTGTGTGACAATACAAAATGAATTAACTGCCGCCATTTTGAATAAAATATGGCGGATGCTACAAAATCGCTTCATCGTTTCCATAGTTTCCCCTGGTCGGGCAGTGATCAATTCTGGCAATAGATGGCGCGTTGCGCCTTCTAATTTCTATCGACCGTACCTCTTAATAAACATGCTCTGCTTTCGTCTGTCCGGCCAAAGACAGCCAACCATGGACAGATGTTTCGTGCTTTTTGGATACTCCTCAGTATGGTCTAGGCTTGGGCATCTCAAAAACAAACAAAAGCGTAGTAACTGTATACTATGCAAAGTGTGTGTTCTACCGAAATAACACAGTGTGTGATCGAATCGAAATTGACCAATCCTAGACCATGCTAACGAATAGTTAAGAGCACAAAATAGCTCTCCGTGATTTTCTGTCTTTGGTCAAACAGAATAAAGTAGTAGTATTGTCTAAAGACCTAATTATTTCAAGAATTAGGTTTAGCTCTTGCTATACTTTAGTATTCAGTATAAGAAAGACGCTGGCCGTTAGAGGCATTTCAGCTCCTCCGAATCCCATATTTCTACCTTGGGATTGATGTAAATACGTTACCATACCAGCAAAGAATGCTGTTTGCGTATAGATGATCGATCATGTATAGTAAACAAACGTGGCCAAATATCCAGTAATTCATACTATTGCAATATATCTGTCTCTCTAAACAATTAAGTAATAAAATCTAAAAATAAAGAAGCCGCCTTGGATTGCATATTTATATGTGGTAATCACCAAATGTTGTATATGAAGATCAAAGTATATAAACCATAGATAGTAGGGTCACTCCATGGTCAACGACTGCATATGTCATCTAGGCCCGATTCTACTATTGAGCTCAGAGAACCAAAATTTGCATCCAGGGCGCCCAGAGCATAAATTTCTAATGGGTATGGTTTCAGACTAGAAAAGAATTATACAATTTGTGTACGATGGGCCCGTAATTTATATCTTAAATTAAGAAATACTTCATAAGTAACCTGGTTTAGCTACAAAGACGTATTTTTTCATTTGACCCTGGGTGCAGAATTTGTAAACAGTAAGTCTGGTAATGATGAGGGAATGAAGCCCAAAAATGCGTCGCCAAGGAGGTCCCCGGAACAAACTGATTGGAACATTCCAGGAACCAAGTGTACTCTTAGGGAACAAGAATGAAATTTTCTCAAAATTCTAGGTTTTATTTACATAAGCACAGGTTCCCGAAGATTCGACCTATTGGGAAATCCTTTAACTACGACCGTCATGAGTAACTATCTTTATATACAAAATATAATAGAAAGCGTGTGTGGCAAGTAATAAATCTGATTTCCGCACTGCTAAAGCACTCCTAACATGAAAGGTCTCACCACAAGTGATTTCACTATTGGTAGTACGTATACTTTGTATGTAGTGCATACCAAATGTTGTATGTTCAGATGTTTCGTTTGCTGACATATTCATAAACGAGCTACACATAAACGTCCGTCGGTGCATGGATGTGTGTATACGACAATTTTTGGTAACACGTTGAATTTTTTATCAAAAATTTAGATTGGCATCGAAGGCATTCCTCATTTTCTGTGATTTTCATGAGGAATCTGGATTCCTACCACATCCTTATTTAGAGAGCCAGAGTATCTTCTGCATGCAAAACAAGAAGCTATTCCATGTATCTCATAAGCAGACTGGTAACAACTTCCTATATGACGAAAACCCTGGAGGTTATTATTGCAGAAGTCCCCTACAGTTTTCAATAGCTCTACCTCACACACATCGGAATTTTATGGATGGCGGGGCTTTGCCAGGAAGCGAATAATTTTGGTTCATCAGAATTCATATCACCGAGGAAATAACTTAGCACAGAGGCTTCTCGTTTTATAGTATCGGCGATAACCTATTTAAGGCTAGAAAATACTTCTAACCATCTATCCTCCCCATTTGGGCCACTAGATCGATCTTGGAGATGAATTGGAAAGAAGAAGTAGTCGCAATTTCCTCTCTAATAAAAGATCTGTGATGAGCTTTTCCCGTCACGTCAATTGACCAGGAAGTGTAATCGCGGAAAATTTCTAAAATAAGACATGCCACATGATACGTAAATAACGAAAAACCGTGTTACTCGTTTCTGTTGGTTTGCTAATTCCCTGAACCCTCCATAACGTGGAAAGTACTTCTGGTAATTTGATGAAATTTTACACACTCAGTCCAGTAACGAAAAAATAAATGAAAAAATGGAAGATGGTTGACCCTTGCTAATTTATAGATTGTTTTTTGAAGGGTTGAAAACTGGACGTTGTAGAGACATTGCACATATTTTAGTATCAATGAAAGACGTTCTATTATAGTGAGGCCTGCGCGGGTTCGAATCCCATCCCAAGAGAATTTTTCTCTTGTTATGGATGTTGTGATTGTCCATAGGTGGTAGACGGTCGCTGACTCTCGAACGCGGAGGTACCACCCGGCGGATCTCCTAGGCGGGCCATTTTCCTTGCACGTCCCATATTCTCCCGCTAGGGTCCGTGTGGCGTCCCCCCCTTTCCCCTGTATACCCTATAGCTCCACGGTACCCATGGGTGTTTAGGCCTTAGGCCTTCGTGGTGGTCGGAGTATGAAAAAATACAGTTAATATCGGAAGAGAAGTATGATAGATCTATTTTATATAGTTTGAGATGTAGATGTTTACGAGGCATCGTACTGAAATGACATATACAGTCAGGTTTTAATTCCGTTTGAGTCTTTTAAATAACCAACCCTATAGAAATATTGGAAGATTACACATATTATGTCAATAATATACTTTGAGGATTATCATTTCGAAAGTACCCAGTCAATATACTTGACATTTTTTTTTTACCTTCACGTTACTGGGGGGTGACGATCTGTATATGAACTCTGAATCTCCGGACACATGCCCTGTAGCATTTATATAAGAGGAAAATATTGTAATGCTGCAGGCGCTGTACATTTTCCATTTATAGTCCATAGTTCTTTATCGCTTATTTTACTCTGCATGACGTAATGCTGTTCCGATGTATTCAGGATTTCATCGAGAGAAGTATGATTCGATTGACCTAGTATTTACATTCAATTTGCGATGTAAAGCCGGGTTTACACGGGTCAAGTAAATGGTCAAGTTGAGCAGTAAAGTCAAGTATTTTTTTCTACTTGCATCGTCTAAACAACTTCGGTCAAGTAAAGTAGTGACTTGCGTCAAGTGACGAGGCAAGTCAAGTGGTTCTGCACGGTGAACAAGTAACTTCACTTGACTGCTACCCCCACTTCACTGGATCGCCAACTTGACCGTCTACTTTACCAATGTAAACAGAAAAAGCAAGAGTAAATAAGATTTTGCGCATGGATTGTGGATTTGTACTCTGTGTTCTTTCAGACTTTTTACCCATTTTGATCATAGATAAGCAAATAACTTTGGTGACTTTGGTATATTGCAAATTGTGAACTAAGGTTGAATTTGTACAAGATGAACTGGTCAGAAGAAGAAATCATGCATTTTGTTAAACTCTATAGTGAAAAAGAGTGTTTATGGAAGAAGAGTAGTGTAAACTATCGCAATAAAAACATGCGATAAGCAGCTGAACATGATAGAAAATGAAGGTTTTGGGGTGGCAGAATTAAAGCAAAAATTAAAGATAATGATCAGAAAGCATTGAAAGTTAAAAAATCTAAGAAATGAGGAGGTAAACCGGATGATATATACGTTCCAACCGTCAAGTGGTTCCGACAAATGGAAGAAATAATGGATAGCTACACAGCTGAAAATGAAACGAAAAGCATAGTAAGTCAAAAGTGTATTTTGTTTTTAATAACTGGTAACTAATTTATAAAATTTCGTTGCCAAGGCACTGCTCCTGCTTCAGAAATAAAATAATCCCTCATTTTGTTTCGCTATCTCCGACGTCCTCCTCTCAGGTACCCCCTGTAAGTTTCTCAGTACTCGTATCTGATTTCTCCACTGTCCAGGTATTATTTCGCCAGTGTGTTGGTTTTCACAATCAACCAATGGTGCATTATTGAAGAATTGTTCTGGTGACGTTTTTCGTAGCCAGTTGTGAATTACAGTTGTAGCACTAACCAGTTTATTCACAGACGAAACTTTTATCTTTACTTTTGTTTCAAAAACACGAAATTTACTTTCTAAGATTCCAAAATCATTTTCCTCTATTCTTCTGGCACTGCTAAGCCGATAATTGAAAATATTTTCTTCATCGGTAAGAGGTAGTCGGTATCTACTATATGGTTTAAATAGCTAGGGTTTTAGTGTAAAAGCATCATCACCAACAAAAAAGCAACCATCGGGTAGTAATCCTTCTTCTAGAGCTTCTGAAAATTCGTTGTTTTGAAACATACCACCATCTGAGTTAGACCTCTTTGTCCCTTCTTCAAAATAGGAAAAACAGTAATTGTGACCTACAATTGCCATTAGTACCACGCTGAAGGAGCCTTTATAGTTGAAGTATTCACTTCCAGTATGTGGCGGAGCCTCGATCAAGACATGTTTGCCATCAATGGCACCACAACAGAAAGGAATATTCCATCTTGCTTCAAACCCTTTCGCAACTTTTTTCCATGCATCATGTGTATCAAGAACCTGAAAAAACAAACAAAAAATAAAAATTAATCATGAAGCAAATGAGAAATATTAAATTAGTATTTCATTCATTTTAGGAAACACAAATCGCTCCACCTAGCGAAAATATAAAGGTCTGCTAGAGGAACAAGTCATTGAAGAACCGTCTCCAAATCTAACTGGTAAAACAGGTTCTCGAGTAGAAGCAGGATTAAAAAATAAAAAAGCATGGATAGAAGCACTAGCCGCAGCTGTTGCAGAGATCCGAAAAGTCCAGGAAACAATAACTTCTAATTCCATCAGTGACCATGAAGCCTTTGACAAGTTCATTGCAGCCAGTTTAAATAAACTGCCCGCTGTTGATTCAATCATGGCGCAAGGTGAAATTCAAAGAGTAATACAAAAATATCGATTGAATGCGTTAAATATGAGCAGTTCTGCTTCTGAGGCTTCCGCATTAACTGCAATTCAATCACCAACCCTTTCTTGGGATTCACCTCCTGCAACTACTCCTGCATACAGCACTAATTACCCGGTCATGAACGAGGACACAGTTGCAAATGATGATGCTGGTATCGGAGATATTATCTCGCAAGCATGGAACTTGACAAACTAAATGTTACAATTGAATTTGTTTGTTTTTTATTAAGAAGCCTAAATAAAATTTTAAAAATGTTCTATTATTATCTATTCACATACCTTTACGAAATCCTTTAAGCAGTCATACACAGTTTCACAAACGATGGGAATCATGATAGATATCGCTGATTTAGAAACTCGGAAGAGATGAGAAAGGGTTCTGTAATTATTACCTGTTGCTATTTAATTCAAGGTTACTTCCAACATTGTTTCTGGTTTGATAGCGTCTCTCATAATAGTGTCCTCTCGTTGGATTAATGGAGTTATTAAGCCTAACAAATAGTCAATTTTTTCAGTAGTCATTCTGAGCATCATTCTGTATTCTTTAGGATCTTCAAATCTCAGCTCCCTTATTAAATTGGTGGAAGCTCCTTGACTTTCTCTGCGTGTAAGCCATTCTCGACACCATATCCTTTTTTCAGGATTTCTCTCTTCCTCCAAAACTTCTTCCAGTTCTTCCAGGAGAATATTTGTTAGATTAATAACTCAGTTTCGTATGACAATACGACTTTGGACCATGTCGACTTGCACATCTACTGGACTACGTGGAAACGCGCCTTTTGGATCAAGTTGTGAACCAAGTAAAGTAGAATGCAACCACGCAAGTGCGAAGGCAAGTAACTTGACCGTATACTTGACCCGTGTAAACCCGGCTTAAGTGTTGTGATAAAACAACCACAGCAGGAATGATGATGTGCGTATGTTGATAAAAAGTTGTTTATGAAGGCTTAAAGGTATGTAATACATAATATGCTGCCCACACATATAAGTCTAAAATTTTCCTATTAATATTAAGATACCCATGCTGGTACATAATGCACCAAATTTTCTGCACCGAAAGATGGTTCCACAAAATTTATTGTTTACTGTGGTTATACAGTGTTGTGCATCAAAGCTAACATCTAACAGCTAATAAAAAATTAAGCTGGTACTTGAGCTTGGTCACTTTTTAAAATAGCGTGGAAGTTTTATGTGTTCAAGGTATTGTATTGGTACATATTTTTTCTGAACTTTGACCGAAATCAAATCATTTAATATCATTCCCATTTTCGTCAGGAACAAAGTTAAACATGATATCTCGAAATGTAAAGGAGTTCCACCGATATTTGAATTACATTCTCTATTCCCTATTCAATACTAGATGACAGGCGAGCTGATATTCGATAACAACACGAGCTTAAGATAAAGTTTCGATAAAAGCTTCACACATTTGTTATTTTTCATCAGCAGGCGTGAAGTTAATTAAAAAGGCGGCAGAGGTATTAAGTGGGATTAAAGAGACCGAGTGAGTAATCATTCATGTTTATAAGACTGTCATAAAAGGCATATGTTCAGACTCGACATTATGTAAACAAAGCTGTCGGTAAATCGTTTCCGAATGTGCATAAGTGTCTGACAAGAGCCTTCCATAGTGAGAGTATTCCCATTTATATAGAAATTGCATGAGTATTCGTATATATACAGATGAAAATGTATCTTTCTACAGGGTGCGGCAGAATGACTTCCTTTTTAAAATGCGCTCCATTCAGTCGGTTGATATCGCAGCGGAGCGCTAGTGGTCTAGTTCGAGATATACAGGGTGACTTCGAAGTTGAGTCATTTATTTTAACAGTGAGTAGATCTGATCAAAAGAAATGTTTTTTCCTTTAACATTTTTCTGGTAAAATTAAAGTAACAAAGTTATAGCCCTTTAGAAGTTTGAGTACCGCCCTGTCTCAATAATAATATTATGTGCTCGTGTTTGGCAACAACGGATATAATCCGCGTTATCGGTTCATCGCATCGGAAACAAAAAAGCGAAAGATTTTGAAACGTTTATCACGATGTTTTTCGTCAGTCGGTAACGCGTGAGTGAATAGTGGTGTTTGTTGCGTGGCTCAAACGAAATAAAAGATGGCACATGTTTACGAAAATGCTGAACTTGTGGACATGATTCTTTACAAAATGCTGCCGCGGCATCACGGATTTGTGCGAATCGGTTTCCCAATCGAGTGCAACCAACCCCTCGTGCCTTTGTTAATATAGTACAGGGTGGCCCATAAGTCCTTTGAGCTGGAAAAAAAGGAATAAAACCAAACTAGTTACATTATGAAGAATTATTATATTTTTTTATCATCTTTATTGAATGGGAATTATGTTTTAAAAATCACATCGTCTAAATGCAATCCATTACGATCACGGCACTCATATAAACGACGTCTAAAATTGTCGATGACTGCGCGGCAAGTCAACACTGTAATGCTTGCCATTTCTCTTCGGATATTTCCTTTCAGGACATCAACTGATCGCGGAGTGGTATCGTACACTTTACTCTTGAGGTAGCCCCATAAAAAGAAGTCCATTGGGGTCAAATCTGGACTACGTGGTGGCCAGGAAATGTCTCCTCTTCGAGAAATTACTTTGCTGGGAAAAAGTTGACAGACGACGGGCATAGAAGTGTTGGAGGTGTGGGCAGTTGCTCCGTCCTGTTGAAACCAGGTCTGCGTATTATAGCCTGGAAAATTCTGCAACGCTGGTGTCGAAAACTTTTCTATCATTGCTACATACCGCTCCGAAGTAACAGTTAATGCGCGACCTCTGTCGTCCTCAAAAAAATAAGGGCCTACGATGCCATGCGCTGACATAGCAGCCCAAACTGTAACTTTAGGGTTGTGTAAGGGCTTCTGATGCCTTGGATTTTCGGGGCTCCAATAACGGCAATTTTGTTTATTTACATGCCCGTTTAAATGGAAGTGAGCCTCGTCCGAGAACAACACATTATTGAGCAAAAAAAATCGATTCAACATTTCATTCGCAAAGTTTAGTCTCTGAATAGCGTCATTATCTTTTAAGTCCTGCACTAACTGAATTTTGTAAGCGTGCAGACGTAAATCTTTCCTTAAAATCCTCTGTAAAGATGTTCTGGGTACGTTTAGTGCACTGGAACGCTTACGAGTAGACTGGGTAGGATTTTGACGAACAGACTGTGCCAGAATGTTGATGTTTTCTTCAATACGAGTTGTCCTTGGTCGACCTCACCGCTGTTTATCTAACGTCGAACCGTCTCTTCGAACTTAGCAACCCAGTTCTTAATCGTTTGAGCTGTTGGGCACTTTGTAAAATTGTGTAAATTGTGGTATTCTCGATATTTACGCCGCGCAATGGTTGCCGAATCATTATTTTGATAAAACGCGCGCACACAAAAAGCACGATCCGCTCCAGTGAAACACTCCATGGCGACTGAATTCCCAGACACTGAAGATACTGCCCCCACCTCGCCCGCGCCGCTCACGCTCACCCGTTAAATTTTATTCAAATTTGAAATTTCAAAGGACTTATGGACCACCCTGTACAAGGGGCTCGTGAATCAGTAGACTTAAGACCTTACAGGGGAGGGCCTGCCGGTGCTCCAAGACCGCACGATCAAATACAGGTCCGCACTGAAATACCTGTCGGGAGGATACTTTATAAAACAAGGTAACATTTTTTTAATGTTTTTTTATTTTTACACACATATTTTGGTTTATCTTCCTTCTACAATCATTATCTGAAAATTAATGACTCAACTTCAAAGTCACCCTGTATAAACATATACTAAGTGACATATAAATCCGAACACCCAGTTTAAATGGTTTTATTTTAATAAAATTTTTTATAAGTACTTAATAAGTAAATGATAAAAATTTCAAAATGATTGTACTGCTTTAAAGCCCTTTGACCTTTAATAATGTGTGGATGCACCCTGATGTGCTACGCATTCTCCAACGCGCCTAGCCATGCTTCTGATCAGGTGGTCAATGTCCTCCTGTGGTATCTCATTCCAGGCAACCACCAACTCCTCTCGAAGTGCTTCTAGATTCTGAGGAGGACGTTGCAAATTGAGCAATCTCCTACCCATCATATCCCACACGTGCTCAATTGGGGATAAGTCGGGAGATCTTGGTGGCCATGGTAACAATGTGACATCATTATGTTGAAAGAAGTCTATTGTGACTCTTGCAACATGTGGTCGGGCATTATCTTGTTGGAAAGTTGGATCTGCCAGGGTGACAAGATAGGGTAAAAGATGGGGTTCTAGAACTTCGTGGATATAACGCTGCGCATTCATGTCACCTCTGATGAAGATTAAAGGTGACCTGGAACCATAAGCTATAGCACCCCAAACCATAACTCCAACAGTGTGATGAACATGTCTTTCAACAAAAAACTGTGGATTCTTCATTTCACCACGTCGCCTTCTAACCCTTACACCGACGTAATCGCCTTGAGTGGTGCAGACAACGGTCACTCTGGGATCAGGAATGGAACAGTATTGTCTTTAGTGACGAGTCTCGATTTTGTTTAGGCATGCACGATGGTCGTGCCAGGGTTAGAAGGCGACGTGGTGAAAGGAGGAATCCGCAGTTTTTTGTTGAAAGACATGTTCATCACACTGTTGGAGTTATGGTTTGGGGTGCTATAGCTTATGGTTCCAGGTCACCTTTAATCTTCAATCAGAGGTAACATGAACGCGCAGCGTTATATCCACGAAGTTCTAGAACCCCATCTTTTACCATATCTTGACACCCTGGCAGATCCAACTTTCCAACAAGATAATGCCCGACCACATGTTGCAAGAGTCACAATAGACTTCTTTCAACATAATAATGTCACATTGTTACCATGGCCACCAAGATCTCCCGACTTATCCCCAATTGAGCACGTGTGGGATATGATGGGTAGGAGATTGCTCAATTTGCAACGTCTTCCTCAGACTCTAGAAGCACTTCGAGAGGAGTTGGTGGTTGCCTGGAATGAGATACCACAGGAGGACATTGACCACCTGATCAGAAGCATGCCTAGGCACGTTGGATAATGCGTAGCACATCAGGGTGCATCCACACATTATTAAAGGTCAAAGGGCTTTAAAGCAGTGCAATCATTTTGAAATTTTTATCATTTACTTATTATGCTTCATTAAGTACTTATACAAAATTTTATTAAAATAAAACCATTTAAACTGGGTGTTCGGATTTATATGTCACTTAGTATATTAATTTTATCCACGGCTAGATGAGTTGTGCTTAGGGGATATTTGGTTCCATAAAGTGTAATGGCCACGTATGCGCATCGATGTCTGTTTTGAGGGAACGCTTCCCAGACCGCCTCATCTCCATTATTTGAAGAAACGTAAGCGTTATCAAATGAGGGAGAGACTATGTAGTGTGGACTAATTGCCTGGGTCTGTTTGGCTGATTCGACACATTTAATCGCTTCTGTTAAACATGTTAAAAATTGTGGGTTGGGATTATAGGGGGTGTTGAAGGGTATATCTCAATTGTTTCAACTTTCAACTCCGGGAATTCTACGCACATTTTTCCTTTAAAGTTCAGAAATATTTTCAACACCACGCGTCCCACACAACTCAACGAACGTAGATAGCGAGTGCCCAGCTTAGTCACGGCAACGTTACTAGATGATCAGTACTGCCATTAGGGCAAA